GCAACCAAAATCGGTTGGCAACTAAATTCAGAGGGGTCAGAACGGATTAACCGTATTTACATTGAACCTTATGGGAAAATTTGATTCGGGTCGCAACCAATTTGGGTCGCGGAACGAATTAAGTTCGTGACCCAAGGTACCACTGTACTGGTAGGTTTTGTGGGTTGTTTTGCTCAGGTGGGGTGGAATGGGGGCAAATAGCATTTCACCTTTGGGGGAGGCAAGAACTAGAAAGAATGGTTAATGATGGAATAATGATGCAGAATGAGCCTCCTCTGTGGAATTGGGATTTCTGAGGGAGGCTTAATTCTTCTTAATTAATTCTTAATTCTCTTCCTCTTCCTCTTCCTCCTCTTTTATTTTTTCTCTCAAGTCTCCTTTATGGATTAATTTTAAATATTCAAATTATTTTTAAAAAGTTTCCTTTATCGTTTATTCAGCCAATTTTGTGCATTTCCTTTGCCCAGAGGCAAGAAAACCTCACCCCTGGTGTTCAATAAGTGAGGGTTCTTGGGAAATTTGGGGACACTTAAAGTTGTGGGGCTTTAGATTTTATGCCACTGGCTCCCCGGGTCACCCTCTAGTTTATGATGGTTCACGGTTGGGGGGCGGGTAGACAGCTGGTCTAGTATACCAACCTGCATGGTTACATGGTTACATGGCTGAGTAACCAACTTGCATCCTCTCTGCCTCCCTTTACAGTTGGGTGCCATCTCTTGGATTCTGTGCAAGTAGCTGGTTGAATCAGCCTAGTATCTGAACTTAAGAAAATGACCAATATCAAAGATGGAGAATGAAGTGTTCTCCCTCCCCCTGAGTCACCAAACCTTACTTTGTACAGTTCCTTCTCATTTTGTTGCAAATTTTAGCAGAGGAACCGTATCACGTGAAACAGGTTTTCTCTGTGCCTGCAAATAGTGACAAGCACTTGACCCTGATCTTAACTCTTCCTTTCAGTGGGATCACATGCAGCTACTATTTGTTTTATTTAAAAAAAACCTTGCCAGTATAGAGTGTGTGTGTGTGTGTGTGTGTGTATGTATGTATTTGCCTACTGCCTACATTTTCCTTCTCACCCTGCCTAAAAATGTTGTTAATGTTGAACTTTGGTGAGGTATTTTTATCTGTGCAGTGGGCCACTGAGTAAAGTAAGTCTGTGTGTACATGTGTCCACTCCAGCGTAAAAATACTTAGGTGAAGGCAGTGGTGGTGGCGGTGGGAGGGGGTGTTCTCTCTTTCTGACAGCTACATCTTATACTATTAGTATATTTTAATTAGAACATGAGCACAGAATGCTTCATGAATATTCATGATTGGGGTTATTAAAATGCATAATTAATCTATAGAGTTTCTATCTCCACCCCCCATTTTAATAACTCTATTAATGGAATGGGGATGTGCAAGGCCAGGGGCAGAGAGAGAAACAGAGTATTTTCTTATCCCTTCCAGCCTGGGAAATAACATGTGATATTGGGAAGTTTTGGCAAGCTAAAAGCATTATCTGCTGTTTATTTTCCTGTTTCTTTTATTTTTATTCCAGTTAATGCTCTCCTTTTCCTCCAGAGAGCTCTTATATAGGGTTACCCCAATCATTTATGAGCTTCATGGTTAAATGAGAATTTGGATGTAAATCTCCTGTTTCTAATGTAGTACTGTAATCTGTCGTCCATCTTGATGTGTTTCAGATATGTTAAACCACAGTTAAACATATCTGTGCTGGCTAAGGATGATGGAAAGTGTAGTAAAATAAACCTAGAAATTGGGATAAGCTTCTGTAACTGCAAAAATGAATGAAGATATTATGTGTGTTGCATTATATTGCATTAAATATTGCATTGAATTGCATGAAGATGCAATGTGCATACGTATGTGGCTGCTTTTAGTCTGTTTGAGGGCTTGGAGGACTCTTTGTGAACATCTCCCCATTGGGCCCCATAGCACAGGGGAAGATGTTTCTTTTTTTAAATGAAAATAGAACCATTTTGGAAAGCCTTGAGTTCACAGGCTCCAGTCTAATTGGACAAACCATCTCCTTCAGCTGGTGCTCTTGCCTCATGAACTGTGAAATTTGAACGCTATATTTTACACTTTAATATTGTTGGCCATCTTAAGAAGTGGAAATGGCACAATTTAAGGCAGAGCAGATTTTATTTTAAGGAAACTGATTATATGGGGAAACAGCCATCTGATTCTGAATTTATTTGAGGAGACCATTTATGTCTGGCTCCGCCAACCTGGTGTATCCATGTTATTTGTGATTTTCTAAGACCTTCAAGAGTCAGCAGGTTGGGAAATCAAATAAAAGAAGAGTAGGTTTATTCACTGTTGAAAAGTTCAGTGGGAGTGTGGAGAATTTGGCCTTCACCAGACCTGCCCCCATATTACCTACCCAACTTTTAATTACGCTTATGCTTTGCAGAGACAGGGTTAGGGTTAGGGTTAGGGTGGGAGAAGTCAGTCACCTGGGCTTAGATTCATAAGGGGTCTCCACTGACGCCAAGAATTGGCCTCTTCTCTTTGCAGAACCCTGCATTAACTCCTAGATAGCTTCTGTATATTTTTCACTTTAAAAAAAGTGCGAATTGAATACAAAAATGGGCTTTTGTATTTTTTTTTAAACCTCCCCTCTTATGTTTCCTTACATATTGAATTACATTGTTTTTAAACCTGAGTACTTCATTTGTACATAGTGGCTAATTATATGTCCATTCCATAAAAGGTATCTAGATCACAGGTGCCCCTTCCTTTCTTGTTACATTCATGTCTTTATTTCCTCCCTGTGCTATGAACTTTGCAACTCCTTGGGGCGGGATCCATTTGCTACCAGAAGATCCAGACATGTGGAAAAATAATAAACAATTTTCAAACACTCTTTGAACACTAAAACCTTTTCTACCTTTTAGGTTGTGTGTGTATGTGTGTCCCACATGTTTGGGTTTGATTTCCCCCCCACCAGTTCCAGAAAATACAGCTGAAATTATTCTAGAAAGGGGAAGATGGGAAGAAAGGGGTGAAACATTAGCAAAGCAAAAGTTACGCTATTGTCAACATTGGAAAGAATAGGTAGCTCTTCAGTGTTATTTTGAGTTGCATTAAGCATCTTATTCCACCACCACCCTCAATTCTGCAGCGTAATCACATTGGAAATTTTTTTATTAGAAAACAAATTCTAAATGAGAGTTATGAATATTCATTAGGAGTGGAGATTAATATGCATAATTATGCAAATTAGACAGCAATTAAACACCAATTCTCTGGGGAAATGATTAACACAAAAGGCTTCGGAATGGAAGCATGTAATTTTGAAAGAAATTTCTGGTTAAATGAACAGTAGGGAGAGGGAAGGAGAGACAAAGATGGTGTGTTTCTCATAATAATATGCTTTAAAAAAACACGTATACAAACAAAGTAGAGTTGGACTTAACAGCATCCTTGTTATGATAGAGCTGTAGTTACTATTTCAGCATGAGATGGAAATTAAGGACTCGTTTCAAGAGGGACACAACCCCCAAGTGGAGTTTGTTTGCCACCTTGGTCTTGGCTGGTTTCCAGATCCCATTCCAGTGTCAGTCAAGGAGTGGAAATATCCCATTGGAAATGAAAGATACTCTTCACACACACAAGGCGTTCCCTGCCAGGAATCATTTGGACCCAGAAAGGGAGAGTCTTGATTCCAGGCATGGTTTGATTTGCAATCATCTCAGAGCAGGACTGAAATGGTCCTTCTGAGATACTCTGACATGGCTGCAGCTGTTCAAAGGGAGGAGACCAGCAAAGGGTCGCCATGCTATTTTGTAGTGACTTTGCTTATTTATTTATTTGCAGAATTTACCCTGCTCCCATATAAGAACAAAATGGCAGCTTGAATGGGGGGGGTACTCTCAGGGGACTAAAAATGGTGGAAAAGCTTCTTCAAAAGGCAGCTAGCTCATCTCAAGCCATCTTCCTCTGCAGGGAAGCCAGGGGTACATTCTTGAACCTTCTTGTACTTTATGTCATTCTGTGAGTTGGACGTTCCCCAACTTGGCAGCCTCAGGATGCGTCGGGACTAAAATTCCCAGAATTTTCAGTTGGAATGGACAATGCATAGTGTTCATGAATGTATACGATACAACACTGAGACCCACCAAGCTTCTCCTGAGCGGATGTCCATAACCATTTTCCAGAAATTCTAATCTGCAGCTGTGCTGCTACTTCCATAACAAACACCAGGAACTAAATCTCCATGTGGATGAGAAATAAAGAGGTCTGTTTTGCTGCAACATTTCTTCAGACTTCTGGGGAAGAGGGATTTACTTTTTGGAGTCCTCATTCCATACCCAGGAGCGGGTGAAGTTTAATCAGTGCTTAAATGGGATGGAGATGTCAATAAAAGAGGAAGGTGCCCATCTTTGTGATGCCCCCTTTGGCTTCTTTTTTTCTTTTTAGAACATAAGCAGTGGACAGATTAGGTTTGGCTGAGAGGGGAAAGTAATTAACTGTTTCCTCCCCCTGCCCCTCCCATGTCATAATTTGAGCAGACTGTTCCCCCCTCCCCCCAGTCCTGTAATGTTCTCCCGGCCAAAGTAGCCATGGGGAAGATAAGTCGGGCGTGCTACAGCTCCCTTGAGGTGTTACAAACATTAAATAAAACTTGCCCTCTCACGATTCTGCCAAACATATCAACTGAGGTTCCTTTGAAGCTGAATCTGTGTGGAAAATTTGCAAAACAGGAAAGGTCAGTGTTGGTTTGGGATTTTCATCCAAATATTTTTGTATTTGTGAAAGGAAGAGTTAACTTTGAGAAAGTCTGTCTTTTGAAGATCCTGTGGATCAAAGTAATCTTTCTTTTTTTCCCCCCTTTCCCCAGAAGGTTTGGATGAACGATCGACCTCAGGTTCTTGGGCAACAGGAGATCAGAACAGCTCCACGTTTGACCAAGTCAGGGTAAGGGTTGGGAAGATCTGCTCACTCCAAGGTGCAAATGGATCTTTGGGGGGATTGTCCACACTTATGTCTTTTGAGATGGGAAGGTGAACTTCCTAATTCCTTTTTCCTGAAAACATAGGAAAAGGAGCCTTTCTCTCACCCTTATTCTTACTGAGCTATTTAATTTTGAGAATCTATATGCTTTAATTAATTAATTAATTGAGCCTATTATTCTTTTCTGAGAGCATCCAGTCAGATGTCCCCTAGGAAACCCATCCACAAACAGGGTGAAAACAACAACTTTCCCATTCTTATATGCTCAGAGGGTCATATTTTGAGGATTTTTACCTTACTCTTCAGCTTCAAAAGCTCCAGATCTTACATACAATAATGCAAGATCAGTGTTGCTCCTTCAGGCTTATAGTCTGACATAGAAAGAAAAAGGGATGAAGAAGGAAGGGGAAAATGACAGGCATGACATCCTTCAATTCTTAAAGTTCTGTTACAGTTCAAGCTAAGTTCAGGTTATAAAATGATCTGCTGGAATGGAAATAGTTGAGAGAGAAGAGGACACTGATGAAGCTGGTATTTTAACAGTTGAGGGATATTCCATGGAGTCTAATGGAATGGTTGGTACTCAGTAAGGGATTGTCTGCGGGCATTAAGATTCTGCTTAGCTACATGAGTTAATAATTGTTTGGTCATCTTGGTTCTGAATCTGATCTGTCTTCCTTCCAACATTAACCATCCATTTTTTTGAGCTACACTAGACTTCTTTTCTTCCCCAAAATAATAGCAAGTGAAGAGAATAGTTTAACCAGCCTTCTCTGTTTTGGAGGGTACCAGGTGGATTCCATCTCCTGTGATGGAGACTTTCTGTATGTGCTGAGGTTTTGGAGTAGTTGTGATTTCTTCACTTCCCTCCATAACCCTGATGGAGCTTGGATTAGGGGAAGAATGTTTATTTATTGAACCACTTCAGTTACAGTAGACTTGAAGCAATGTATAAATATGTAAGAATTTCAGCACTTCTGCTGAACTGGCTGAATTTGAGATGGACTAATAAATCCATCCTGGCACACACCTTCTTTGAAAATTTGCTTGTTGCAAACTTTGTCTACATATACTTGGAAAATGAGGGTATAGAAATAGTTCGATGGTCAGCTGGAGTTGATCTGACCCACCCCAAGATAGCTGCTCTTTATAAGACCCAACTAAATTAGATTTTGAAGGTGTATTGTGATTAGAAAATGGTTCTAGGGTACCTACCCCTTAGTCTTGTTGGTTGAGATAGGAGTTAGTAGACAATGTGCGTCATAACTTTGTGCATATGGATGCTATTTTTTTTTTCTTATAGCAGGGTTATGGCGAAGGTTCACACTACAGTGAACACAGGGACCTGCCATCCCATAACAGCATATCTTCGTCATCATTCCTGGGGTCTGGAATAGTAGGTAAGTGTCACTGTTTGGAACAAGTTTTGACATTGTAACATGTTGCTCATCTAGAGCTCTACCCACCTGCAAGATGACTATTGTAGTTTGGTAGGGCAGGTCCAGTTTGACTTTAGTGGAGAGAACAGATGACAGCAGAAATTACCTGATTTCTTCATCAGTAATCTCATCAACCTTCTGATTATGCTTTCTTGGCCTCCTATGTTGTTGGCCCTTCTTTGACTTGTCTCTCAGCCATAACCATTTCCTGATTCCCTTGTCTCATGTGTGGGAAGAATGGGATAAGTACGTCTGCTCTGGGTCAAGAGAATCCTTATGGTCTTAGGAATTGTTGCAGGCCTTTTTAACAATAATGGGCTGCT